TCCAAGTTTATGCGCCTGTCGCACGCAATCAACAATCTTCTCACAGCGATCCCATATTCTCTTTCGGTTTCGTATGCCGGGCATTTTAGTTATCCTCGGGTTGAACAGTACCCACGTTCGTCTCCAATCGGCCTTCGGAGAGGGATAGGTCGCGGAATTGCCGATCCACTTTCCTACACCGACTCGGAAATCATGCCATGCTTGCGATAGAGCTGCCAGCTTGTCCTGGTACGGCACTTCGATCTCGTTACGACGTAGGGTGTTGATAGCTCTCACTGCTGTACCAACTTCTTCCATCTCTGGGAACTCTGCAATAATTTCTTCCCAGAGGCGTGTTTCGGGTGCTTCGTCTTCTAGGCCGACTGGGAAGGTTGGTGGTGGGATGCCCAGAGGACAAATGGGGTCCCAAGCCACAGGTTGACATGGCGACTCTGGGTATTGGTTCCCCTCAGATATCTCCCACAGCCACTTCATCTTCTTGAGCACATGTGCTTGGAACTTGGGCTGAGTAAGGTGGTACATTGCTCGACAGGTCTTGGCGACAGCGTTCAGTTCCGAGGGCTTGAGTGACCCGAGGATCAGATCCATCATCTCGGGGGGTAGATTTAGCAGCTTTGCGTGAGTTTGCGCAGATCCTTCGGCGACTGTCAAATTCAAGCACAGCTCCAAAGCATTTCCAATTCCTGGAACCTCAACTGGATTGGCAACGAGCCACTCATCTCTGGGGAAGTGATGCCATGGATAATACCATACTTCACGGGCTCCAGAGACTTCAGGTACCAAGCCAGGGATCTTGCTCTGGCTGATCCCATACCCATTCGGGTTATCTTCTATTTCCCGCCAATGCCAAAGTCCGTCAAGGTTGGCATGGCCTAATTTGCGAAAGGATGTCTTTGCATAAATGTCAAGACAGTAAGAGTGAACGGCAATTGGACATGTTTCGTCGGAGTCCTGCCTCATGGTTAATTCGATCTCCAACACGATGTCGGGAAACTTACAATGACTCCATTATTAACACATTCCCAGGAAGTCCTCAACTCCTGCACTCCATGTCTCGTAGGATAGAATGAACGCCACGCACTCCAGTGATTACCCTGCGCGGCATTTGAACCGTTTGTCTCTCCCGAAAGAAAGAACAAGCTATCCTTTTCTAGCAGTTCATCCTCAGCTCCGAGTTCCCAGTTCGCCCGCTTAGGGATTACGAGGCGCAAATTGCGGCAGTTCTTCATTTGCTCCACACTCAACACATGTCCGTTGATGCCTCGTAAACTCTGGCAAGATGGTGAGGCGATGTGCTCACGCGGGATTTTGCGCCCATCTTGTTCGGGAAAATCACAAAGAACAGGATCGTCGCGTGCTCCTGTGTAAAAGACCTTGTTGTTGTACCATGTCCCATGAGGAAGCCTCTCAGGTCGTGGTTGATTGCATAAATTTGAAACAGAATATAGCTTGTCTGTATCGTCGTGGTCTTCTGTTGTTTCAGATGAGCTGTCATCAGAGTCGTCCTCAGCTCCCGAAGCATACTCGAGGGGTTCACTGTCCGTGCATGACTGGTCATCAGGAACCCATTCAAGATCATCGGAGTCGTCATCCTCCGGCCAGATAGGGAGCGTATCCCACTCAAGAACCTGGGGATCAGCCGGTGTTCGATCTATAGTCGTACAGTCTTTGCAGTCTGCGTCCTCCGCCACATCATTGAAAGGATACTTCATCCAACTAACATAGTTTGCACCGTCTATGTTCCACGCTGCACTTGGCGGCTCGGTGGGCGTGCGAATGCGTGCAATAGCCATGTCTACACCGCATATTTGACAGTGAAACGAAGGAGCAGCCATCATGTAGAGACAGAAATGGTAAACAGGATGACTTGGGTTTCGTGTAAAGAACTTCCGGTCAGAAGGGAAAGTGGCTAAGATATACCACGACCTCCCGTCTATGAACAGGCACCCAGCGTGAACAATGTTGAAGCAGCTCTAGGCAGTCATAGAGCTAAACTTATCCGAGATTGCCCAACGGGTTAAAGATTCTCCGCCCCGATAGAAGAATTTTGGTAGATATCGCCTTTTTCGTAAGAGTAAATTGCTTTGTGATTATCTAATTATGATATGCAGAGTATTGAGTCGTGTATTTCGGGTCAATCCGCATTATGAAACAGTGACCTCGGTGGTCTTCCTGATAACAAGTCCTTCGACATCCATATCCTCCAATTCCGTCTCTGAAACACCTGACCTAGTTGATCCATCCGGCTGAACAATTTGTTCTTGTGAATTATTTCCCTCTTGGATAGGGTCGTTTCCGCCATACATCTTAGAAGCATAGTTGGACTTCGTGGTAGTGTAACATCTTGTTTGGGTGTTAATGCCGTAGCGAGTAGGGTTGCCGGCCTGATCACTGTGGGTATAGATGGATCGGTCCTCGTTGAATCGTAGTTTGGAAGCAAGAGTATCAAAACTAACGACCAGGTTAGCTTTGGCAATATTATTATTGCGGGTCACTTACTAAAGAACGATGGGATAGAGACAAAACAGGGCGTAGAGGAATCGATCGAGTTGACTGGCAATATTGACGGCCTTTTGTCCCGGCGTTTGGAAGGGGTGAATAATAGTTCGAACGACTCCAATTAACGCCAAGAAGGCAACACGCATTTCGGTACTGCGTGTGAGATATCGCAAGAGACCGACTTTAAGTGCCGCATTCATACTCGAGTTCTTAGCGGAAGCGAAAATGACAACAAGGAAATAGGCGCTAAGGCATTCTGAAATAGCCATAAATGTGAAGTATCCGATATGTAGGTAATTGATGATGACTTCGTACTCGTGCACGCCTTCGATCAAGAATTTGGCACGGTAAACGGCGATGAAGACTCGGGAGATGGCGGTTAAACCCATCAGAGTCCAAAAGACGATACTGAAGATGCGCCATTGGGTCGGGCGGAGGACTCGTTCGAGGATGATATAACTGTAAAGCAATAGACTTCCTTCTTGTAACTATTGAGCGTTTAAGTAAGCACACCAGCTATGCCAATTAAGGTAAACGTACCAGCCAGAAGAAGTCTGCAAAGACGGCGGCTACCACCTCATTGACAAGAGGGTGATCGTTATAGTACACATAGTAGCAAAGACCGTTCGCGATCGCACCCGCAGCAGAGGAAAAGATCGGTACAGCAGCCAAGACAGTAAAGGTGGTGATTTCGCAGACCAGGATACCAAAGAAGACATTCACCAGACAGATAGTGCTGAAGATGGACCAGCACACCTCGAAATAATCCATGGCGAATTGACCGATGCAGCTATCGCCGCGAGGTGACCAAGAATGTGACAGGACAAATAGAAGGAACCAAAAAGGAAGGGAGATCGACTTTCGATAACGTACATGCGCTGATCTTATGTCCGATTCCTCGGGACCTTCTGCTGAGGTAGGGAGGGACTGCACTATGAATGGCTTTTCCGCTAGATCCTTCGTTTACAGGGGTTAACGTTTAGTCTAGATCCAGAATTTAGCTCTGGCCGCTTGATGTGGGTGGGCTGAGTCTCTGGGGTGATTGCGACACCAGCTGAGTGTTGTCCACTAACGTCATACAGAAGCGGGTAGCTGTCGTTTGATTCCCGATGCATCAACTTTAGCTGGTATGTGACTCAGTCTCGAGCCGCCTTTTCACGTCTGGACTTTTCGATCAGCATGGCTGCAAAGACCAGACGAAGATAGATATTTCTTTACATGTCTCGTCTTCACATGGCATATGAGACAGCAAGGATATCAATCCTGTTAGGTCACTTTTATTACCTGAAAGGTTTGGACCCTGCATGGAAGAGGATCAAGGTCGTCGCATCATTTTGGCTCATCAATAGAGTTTACACTAGTAGACCTCCTGTGCCAATCCTAAAGTAGGCCCTAAGACACAAAGCATCCCCGGCGTCCAACCGGATGGCTTTGTTGTGGCGCATTCCATGACTCGGTTGATCACCAGAGCTGGCGGCCGTTTGCGGAAGCGAAAAACGGTTTAGTGGATGGAGTGGAATCTCCGGGGAAAGAAAGACGAGAGACCATAAATGGATGTGTCACTCGATGGGTCTATTTGATAATAGCTTGGTTGTCGCTGAGATTGCACAATCTCATGGACTTGCCGAGTCCTTATCCGAATGGATATTGGTCGGCTTTATAGCTTTGTACAGCGATACCCCAGCTTTGTCGCGACCTATCAGGTCGCCTAATTATCGGTATATCGAAGGTCAGGTCATGGTTTGTGTCAGTAGTTGCGAATACCTTCTCGAAACAAGAATCTCGTGTTATCAGTCATTTCGCAGGCGCAGAAAAGTGGTTCTTCTCGAAGCTGTCGGCTCCGTACGTCCGAACACCACGGAATGAAACCGCCATCATCCGATGTCAATATTAATCGCGGAGGCGCCGCGATGCAAACATGCATCTGTTAGATAACAAAAACCTCCATGACTCCACATGGTTCAAGAAAGGGGAAGGACATGAGCCGAAGTTTTAGGCACAGGGGTTCAATAATCCCCTGGTTTTTATGGTCTCCTCCTCCGCAAAAACAATTCCGGGGGTCCACTGAGGATTTGGTACGAGTCAGTGTTTAAACCAACGACCCGGTTCATAGACAGGAGACATCCGAGGATGAACCATTGATGGCCGAAGGATTTAGTTGTTGGCCGGTGTCGTGTAGATCGATCTGTTGAAGCGAAAATAGATCGCAATGTCAATCAGTTGCGACATGGATAGCTCTTGGCGATACGCCCGCAATTTGAACGCATCAGCGAGACGTAGCATGGTCTTTGCGGCGTAGATCTTCAAGCCATGGCGATATCCAGAGAAAATAAAACTGGAC